ACTGTCTCCCCATCTATTTCCCATGAAGTGATGGGACCAGATGCCATGATCTTTGTTTTCTGACTGTTGAGTTTTAAACCAACTTTTTCACTCTCCTCTTTCACTTTCACCAAGAGGCTTTTTAGTTCCTTTTCACTCTCTGCCATAAGGGTAGTGTTGTCTGCATGTCTGAGGTTATTGATATTTCTCCTGGCAGTCTTGATTTCAGCTTGTGCTTCTTCCAGCCCAGTGTTTCTCATGATGTACTCTGCATAGAAGTTAAATAAGCAGGGTGACACTATATAGCCTTGACGTACTCCTTTTCCTATTTGGAATGAGTCTGTTGTTCCATGTCCAGTTCTAACTGGTGCTTCCTGACCTGCATACAGGTTTCTCAAGAGGTGGGTCAGGTGGTCTGGTATGCCCATTTCTTTCAGAATTTGCCACAGTTTATTGTGATCCACACAGTCAAAGGCTTTGGCATAGTCAATAAAGCAGAAATAGATGTTTTTCTGGAACTCTCTTGCTTTTTCGATGATCGAGCGGATGTTGGCAATTTGATCTCTGTTTCCTCTGCCTTTTCTAAAACCAGCTTGAACATCTGGAAGTTCACAGTTCATGTATTGCTGAAGCCTGGCTTGGAGAATTTTGAGCATTCCTTTACTAGCATGTGAGATGAGTACAATTGTGTGGTAATTTGAACATTCTTTGGGATTGCCTTTCTTTGGGATTGGAATGAAAACTGACTTTTTCCAGTCCTGTGGCCAATGCTGAGTTTTCCAAATTTGCTGGCTTATTGAGTGCAGCACTTTCACAGAATCATCTTTCAGGATTTGAAATAGCTCAATTGGAATTCCATCACCTCCACTAGCTTTGTTTGTAGTAATGCTTTCTAAGGCCCACTTGATTTCGCATTCCAGGATGTCTGGCTCTAGGTGAGTGATCACACCATTGTGATTATCTGGGTCGTGAAGATCTTTTTTGTACAGTTCTTCTGTGTATTCTTGCCAGCTCTTTTTAATATCTTCTGCTTCTGTTAGGTCCATGCCATTTCTGTCCTTTATTGAGCCCATCTTTGCATGAAATGTTCCCTTGGTATCTCTAATTTTCTTGAAGAGATCTCTTCAAGAAAGATCTAGTCTTTCCCATTCTATTGTTTTCCTCTATTTCTTTGCACTGATCACTGAGGAAGGCTTTCTTATCTCTCCTTGCTATTCTTTGGAACTCTGCATTCAAATGGGAATATCTTTCCTTTTCTCCTTTGCTTTTCAATTTCCTTCTTTTCACAGCTATTTGTAAGGCACCTCAGACAACCATTTTACCTTTTTGCATTTCTTTTTTCATGGGGATGGTCTTGATCCCTGTCTCCTGTACAATGTCACCAACCTCCATCCATAGTTCATCAGGCACTCTGTCTATCAGATCTAGTCCCTTAAATCTATTTCTCACTTCCACTGTATAGTCATAAGGGATTTGATTTAGGTCATACCTGAATGGTCTAGTGGTTATCCCTACTTTCTTCAGTTTAAGTCTGAATTTGGCAATAAGGAGTTCATGATTTGAGCCACAGTCAGCTCCCGGTCTTGTTTTTGCTGACTGTATAGAGCTTCTCCATCTTTGGCTGCAAAGAATAGAATCAATCTGATTTCAGTGTTGACCATCTGGTGATATCCATGTGTAGAGTCTTCTCTTGTGTTGTTGGAAGAGGGTGTTTGCTATGACCTGTGTGTTCTCTTGGCAAAACTCTATTAGCCTTTGCCTTGCTTCACTCTGTACTCCAAGGCCAAATTTGCCTGTTACTCCAGGTGTTTCTTGACTTCCTACTTTTGCATTCCATAAATACTCTATCTATAGGCAATTTCAAGCAAACGATGTTTAAGGCATAGTTGAGAAAAGATGTAACCACAGTCAACCAACCAATGGGCCTGACAATCCTGATATTATGTGAGCTTTCATCAAAACTCCAGGAAGTCTCTAAAATCACCTTTTTGTCAGATGTGAATAAAAGGATGCAGATGAGAATTATGCTTAAACCCAGCCTTTAGAGTCAGGCGCCAAGACCTAACTCTACTCTTTAAATTATCCTCTGTGTATCTTGCATAAGCCATCTAACTTTCCTGTGACTCTCTTTGCTCATATGTAAAATGGTAATAATATAAGTTTTAATCTCATTAGAATTCCTATGATTATTAAATGAAATAGTACATTAAAATGCTTAGAAGAGTTTTTGTCATATAGCTATAATAATAGTATATTAGTAATAAATGTTAGGTACTATTTTTCTAGATTTTACAATCTAACTATCAGAATATTTTACACATTGTCATCTAAATCTTTCAGAGTTCATTGAACCTTGCTTGATAACAATACTCTGCCAGTTATAGGGGGATCAGCACTAGGAAAGATGTCATATGTTACTTACTAGTCCCAATTTTGCCAAAGTCTAGGTTTGTGGCCTTTGGCAAACCAGTTTACTTCAGGAGATTTGGTTCTTTCACTAGTAAAATACAGAAAGTAATGATCACCCTGCCAACTACACAAGACTGTGGTGAGATTATTATAAGTTAATGAAACTAAGAATTCTTGGAAGATGGTACATATGTGGGATGTTATTATTAATCTAATTTAAAATTCATGATGCTATTGAGGCATTAAAATAAAAGAGTGAGAAGTTTTGTGTCATTTGAGTAAGCATTTGGAAATAATGTGTTGTTAAAAGCTGGGATGTTTTGTTGTATTGTAAAGATGAAAAAAAACCCACATTTGTATCCTCAAGCAGTGAAGCATTTTTTTCTTCCCACAAAAGAGCAAGTTTCAAGTGAAAAGGAACTATACTTTGAAATATAACATATGTTTAAATGAATTAAGGATCCTGGGGAACTAAGTTAAAAATATCTATGAAATCATAATTTTCTAGGAAAGGAAATATAAAGGAAAAATTAATAAATAAAGCACATAATATTTTGTCAAAATGGATGGTATTATGTCATTACAAGATGAATAGTGTAAATTTCCAAATAATTATTAAAGGCAAAATTTCATAAGTTTTATAAATAAGTATAAAAAATGAAATGTCCAGGACAGATTGAAGAAATTTTAAATTAAGTTCAGTCAACTTGTAAACAAGAAAAAGCACACACAAAAAAGAAGGCAAGGAAATTATAGGAAAAATATTTGATTTTTTAAAAAATTTACCCATTGAATCTCTGTTAATGTATAAGAATCATATACATTTATGTACATTCAGTGATAGCTAACTAAAAATCATTCTAAAAGTGTGCCTATGATTTTTTACTCTTAATTTATGACTTCACACTGTGCTTTAACAGAGGAGTTCTGTTCTAGAGAAAAACAATCACTGTGTAGCCTGGTCTTCACCACACCCTTTTTAATCAGTTACCAGTAAAAATTCCTATGGCCTAAAATTTAAATGTTGGTATATGATATGGGAAGACCAAGTTTCCTTGTTGAGTGGAAAAATCAAAATGAAAGTTATGAATAGTATGTTATCTCCTATGAGAGCCAGAGAGGAAAATATGAAATAAAAATTTGTAAGAAATCACTGAAAATACTCATAAGAAATTTATGAGTTAGGGAACTTGAGTAGACTAGAAAACAGGTGGATAAAGACTTTCATAAGGTACCATTTTATATTGTTTTGATTTTTGATTTGTGAATTTATTACCTACTAAATAACATGTATGTGTGTGTGTGTGTGTGAGTTCAGTACACCTCAATGTCACATCTGATTTAACACTTGTCACCTGCCCCATGCTCAGGCCTGACCAGAGGAGACACATGTGATGGATTCAGCCTCCGTGTTTGGTCCCCTGTCCCACTCACCATGTGGCTTCTTCTTGTTCAGCAATGTGGTGAGGTAGACAGGGGTCAAAGGGTCTTACAAGACTGGTGGGTTTGCTGTCATCTGCATGACACATACCCAAATGCTGATTACTTTTTCTCTCCTGAGGAGTTTCCGTGCTTCCTTCAGAGACAGCACCCTACACCAACTGGGTACCTTGTTCTTTGATATTTATGCTGAATTTTTGATTCCTACTCTGTCTTCTATATCAACAATCAGCCCACAAAGTCTGTTTTTTACCCTCTGAAATCTGTATCTGTTGGACAATGCCTTCAAAAGACCTCTTCTCCACCTGCCTCTTGACTTTGAAAAACTCAGTACCTTTTCTGTACCAACATCTGGAAGTACATTCTCTTTCAACAGGATCCCTCAACAATTCTCCTTTAGGCGAAGGTTTCTTAACCTCTATGGTATTAACATCTGGGGCTAGATAATTCTTCTTTGTGGGGGATTTTCCTGTGCATATTATGATGTTTAGTGGCACCCTTGACTTCTACCTGTTAAAACAGTAGCTAGCTCCCATCAGCCAAACCAAGAGTGTCTCCAGAAATCGCCCAATGACACCTTGAAAGCAAATGGCCTGATTGAGCACCATAGGACTAAGGTAATAATCTTCTTCAAATGAATTCCCATTTCTGAATCTCCTTACCACTCTGGTATTAATAATTATCAGGCTGGATGATGGAGTTTAGATGATTATCAAATACACATGGGGAACTGCACTTAGCAAGCCCTTATACAGTGTCTGATAGATACCTCTCATGATATGGACATGTGACACCTGTTTTCTCAGAAGGGACTCTGAAATCTTGAGATAATAGGGAAACTCTTATATCAGTGAAAATCAGCATAAGCTTACATCTATCTCTGACATTTAAAACTCTGGGCCTAAGGACTGTGAGAGCAGGGGGAGAGGAGACTTTAATTTGCTTATTTATTGATTGACTGTTTTGTATTATTCAAGCATTTAGATTAAAATGTGTATTTTTTGGAAGAAAGAATCATAGTTCTTAATACGGCTACATCAAGAAGAACATTTTAAGTTTTAATAAGATTTTGATTTTGGTTTCTTAGCCAAGATATGAAAGCAGGGTCAAGAAAACAGGGGGAAAAAGGAGAAAATCAAAAAAGTTAAAAGGGCAAGGAGGTTAAAACTTACCTTGTTTCATCAATATAAACTGCTTCCAACACAGATGCTGCATATTCAATATTCTTCTTTAAGTCGACGACATTAACGTCACCTTTTTCCAGCTGCTTCACTAAGCATCTTAGTCTATTTCAAAAAGGAGCCAAAAAAAGAAAGAGATTTATCATGACTATAAGGGAAAGAGTCAATATTAAATATACAAATTGGGTTAAACTTTCAACTTATCTTTCCAGGTTATTAATTAGCAATATGTCCAGGTATATTTGAGGTATAATTAAGATCAATCTTTATTATGTAAACAACTATCAGAAATTATATTCACCTCTCAATAATATTAAGACTATAGGTTGCAGGTTTATGTACCATATTTCAAACACACTTTTTCTGAAAATTCAAACAATATAGGTTATTTTCATAAAAGTATTTCTAATACTAGAATTTATTCTATGGTTGTTGTGCTTCTTCAGAGTTGGCAATAAGAAATACGTAACAGGTACTCTTTTGACCACTATTGTATCAATTATTCACTGTTTATAGCAGTAGAAACAAAAATAAAAGGCAAAAGATTCAAGAAAATATAATTAAGATGAGAAAAAACATATGTATACAAGCTTAGTGGTTTTATTGCAATGATTTTTCAGTCAAGGCAAAACTACAAAATGTTTTCTCATGTTTTTGCCCATAGAATCATATATCACAACTGTTTGAGAAATTTTAAAGCATTTCTGGATCTCTGATTCAGAAACTGTGATGTAATTAATACTGTTGTTTTAAGACACTACATTTTGAAATAATTTTTTAGGCAGAAATAGATATCTCAGGGAGTGAAATAGTACAAATTATCTCAATAATTTTCTAACACTTGTAGAAATTTCTATGCATTAACTATAAACCAAGTGTTTCTAAAGATACTTCCCTTTACTAAAAAGAAAAAGAAAACATGTTCTTTAGTCACTATACACTATAAACAAGCATTGTGAATACAATTCACCCATTTTCCTGTCAGCAGGCAAAATTTAATTTCTTGAGAAAAGGTATTTCAGAGAAAATAGAATACATCTACTTTTAGGCACTGCCTTAAAGATAGTATAACAGATTCTCTGAAAACTTACTTTGGATGATACCACGGTTTAGAGTATCAAGACAAGTTACAAATTTCAGCAGTGGTATTTTGCATTTCTTCATCCATAAGAAACTTTATTTCTCCATGGAAAAGAGCCATACCTAGCTTAAAACTTCTTATTCAGGCAACTACAATTACTTTTTGTATCACATATTTTTGTATGATAAAATTTTAGCAAACAACAACATAGAAAAATAAATTCCATGTGTCGATAAATGTCTTATTTGTCCAGAGTCAGCAAAGCAAAACAAAATAAATATCAATGACTATAACAGGTTACTTAGAAAAGAAAAATTAAGCCTGGCTCTGAGGCTTGTGTAAAATATGGAATATGATAATAATGGAGCAACACATAGAGTTTTAGGGGATTTTTGTAATTCTATAATCCAAACACATTGTACTTAGTAAAATTTCCTTTTATGTAGAAAGTAAAAGAAAGAGTTTCATACTTTGAAACAGCTTAAAAATATACCACTCATGTATCCTTAGCACTTTAGGGATTAGAGGGAGCTGCCTCACCTGAAAAAGTCTAAAAAAATCTAGCTAATGTCATAAATAATGCTAAATGACTGAAGATTTTCCTTCCAAAATCAGGAACAAGATTCTACTCTCACCACAGATATTCATAATTGCACTGGATCTTTTAGCCAAAGCCACAAGGCAAAAATAAAAGGTATTCATATTGGAAAGAAAGAAATAAAACTGTCTTTGTTCACAGACAATGTGATTGTCTAAGTAGCAAATCTGAGGAAATATACCAAAGAGTTACTAGAAGTGATAAAATGTTATAAATGATTTTAACAAGTTTACAATATAAAAAGATACAAAAATTAGTATCATCCTATAGAATAATAATGAACAATCTGAAATTAAAATATAAAACAATACTATTTACAATAGTTCTGAAAATGCAAAATTCCTAGTTATAAATCTGACCAAGTATGTGCAAGCCCTATACACTGAAAACTATAGAACATCACTGAAAGGAAAAATAGTAGATCTAAATAAATGGAAAGATACACCCATGCTTATGGATTGAAAGACTTTATATTGTTTTTATGTCATTTCTCCAAAAATTTATTTATAGATTCAGTGTAAACCCAGTAAATATTCCAGTGGGCTCTCTTGTTATTATATATATTGACATGTTGATTCTGAAATTCACATTGAATCAAGGAGCTAGAATAGTCAAATTTAACAAAAAGAACAAAGTTGGGGAATTTACACTACTTCAAGACAGAAGCCTTCAAGACATTCTAAAGCTACAGTAGTCAGTACAATATAAATGGCACAATACACTGCATTATTAGCACCAAGATAATACAATAGGTAAATCAATAGATTTATAAAGTTAAAAATAGACCCACAAATATATAGTTAATTTATTTTTGGAAAAGACGCAAAGATAATTTAGAGGAAAAAGGATAACCTTCACAACAAGTTATACTGGATAACTAGAAATATCCATGTGTAAAAGGAACTTTGTTTCATCCCTGCATTGCAGATCTAAATGTATATCCTAAAACTATAAACGTAGAAGAAAACATGGGAGAAAATGTTTGTGATCTTGGTTAAGCCAAAGATGTCGTACATACAACGCCTGCAATGAAATAATGAGTTGAACTTCAACCAATATTAAGAACTTCCAGCCACAGACTAGGAGAAAATATTTGTACATCATATATCTGATAAAGGATTTTCAGAAAACATGTTAAGAACTTGCAAACCTAAATAATAAGATAAATAATCCAATACAAAATCTGCTAATGATTTTTTCATATCACCAAAAATGATATATTCATGGCAAACATGAAAAGATGCTCAAAATCAGTAGTCACCCGAAAAATTCAAATTAAAATAACAAGGAAATATAATCAAATACTTTTTAGAATGACTAAAATTAAAATAACTGATCATACCAAATACTTGCAAAGATGTGAAGCAATTTAAACTACCACACACAGCTTCTGGGAATGTAAATAAGTACAATCAATTTGGAAAACAATTGCCCAAAAAGTTAAACATGTATCTGTCACATGACTCAACTGTTCTATTCTCTGGTGGAGAGAAGAATAAATATATGTCCTTACAAATACTTGGACATAAATGTTCATAGCAGCTTTATTTGTAATAGACCCAAACTGGAAGCAAACCAAATGTTCATCCATAAGTAAAGGGAAAACAAACTGGGCCATATCCATCCAAAGAAGTTTTACTTAGCAATATAATGAATAAACTGTTGATACACACAATGACGTGACTGAACAATAACTATGGTGAGTGAGATAGGATATATGAATTTGTATAAAATTTTTAAATGCAATCTGTTCTTATTGAGACAGGAAGCAGATCAGAGGTTGCCCGGGAACTAGGAGGTAGAGATGAAGGAAGAGAGGAAGGGAAAGATTACAAAGGAGCTGGAAGAAATTTTGATGGTAATGGAAATGTTAATTTTCTTGATTGTGGTGATGGTTTCATAGGTGCATACATATGTTCATACTTATCAAATTATAAATTATAAAATGAAATATGTAATTTGAGATAGAAAATGGATATGTGCAAAATAGATGCTTCTGTTACATGTCTGTACTTTTAATCAATTCCATTAAAATACTTAAATTTTTAATATATAATATCAAAGACATGGAAACACTCTATAGCAGCATTAAACTGCTAATGGTTTTTCTCCAAAAAGAAAGGCACTAATCTTTTTTTTTTTTTTAAGAAAGGCACTAATCTTTGATAATTCATGAGACTTTTAAAATCAGCCTGAGTATTATGTACTGAACAGGTTTTGATGTTCTTAGCTGTTTGGTGGGACTACTTCCTCACCTTATAAGGATCAGAACACTTAAAAGAAGCCAGCAATGAAAATAGAAACCATCTTTGAAAATAATTGATTAGATCTGTGATCCAATCAAGCAGTCACAGAAAAAAAGCAGTTTCTACTTTTGAACAAAGAGTACTGAGCTGTAGAAAATGATTTAAGTATTTTTATTCAAATATAGAACTGCCACTTTCCAAATGGAAAAATATGCAATGTAAAATGATGTAGCTTTCAGAATCAAGTACTTCATATACTCTAAACTTAGCTTCTAAGATATTGCTATAAAACCCTATCTTGCAAAAGAACCACTTACATAATAAGGATATTATCCTGAAAAATCCCATGTGTCTATACATGTCTTCATTAATTCTAGGATAAAAATGCCCAGGATATCTCTAATGCTGTAAAGCATGAATGATGTGCATGTTAATAATTTTAACTTAAAAAAGAATTGAAAATAATCATACTTCTATCAGTGTCCCTATTTTTTACATAATTGAAATACAAAAGAGGGAAGGATGTGGTTGTAAGAATGCCACACTAGGAAGCAGAAGTGGTAATGCTAAAGGAACATCTACAGTGATATTAACATTAAAATATGGCCACACACAGGAGTGCACAAAGACATACAAACTGGGACTGCCAGAACTAGAAGCTGCTATGTCATTTTCAGTAAGTCCTGCTTGCCTCTAATTCTAACATGATTAAAAAATGATGACAAGAAGCCATTATTTAGTGAAGTTTTCTTGTCTATTCTGCAGGTCAATGCTTAGGAAATTAAAGTCTAACCTTAGTCGAAAAAGCAAGGCTTATAAATTGAAAGTCTTTTTAAGAAACTTTTTTTCCCACAAAGACCAATGTTACAGTTGTAAAATCCCTTGATATCTTTATTTTATAGAATAAATAACTCCCAAAACAATTGGCATCACTGAAAAAATGGGAACAATTGTATGGCAAACATTATTGGCCTTTAAAATATATTTACATTCTACGTTTAAAGAAGCAAAATGACCCCACTGAAGTGGAGAACATAGAATGGAAAAATGAATTTTTAAGTGCAAAGAAATATATAATTTTTCTTCCTTTTCTTCCAAATCACATTTTGGGTTAACTATTTAACACTTTACTTCAAGAGAGTACTTTTTATTACAGAAATGGGCACTGCATAGTTCCCAA